CACCACCACCGTCACCACCACCACCGCCGCCGCCGCCACCACCGCCACCGCCACCGCAACCGCTACCGCTACCGCTACCGCTACCGCTACCGCTACCACTACCGCTACCACTACCACTACCACCACTACCATTACCACTTCGACGACGACGACTGCTAGTACTACGACGACGTCGTCGCTACTACGACGGCGACGACTACTACTATTACTACTAGTACTACTACCACGACCACGACCATGATCCTTACCACTACGTCACTCCGTCTGCTTCTACTTCTCCTTCCGTCTTGATCAAGAATCTGTAGAGTACTCAAGCTTTCGATTTGATGCTGTGTCCCTTGGAATACTGTTACGTGGCCTCCTAGTAGCCTTACAGTACCCTGAACCCTCAGAAAGACGACGCGGGATTTTAGAGTTCCCCTACCCCTTCTGCCACTCTGTGCTGCCTGCAATGCTACTTTGACACCGACAACTGGGACATTTCGACGACTTCTACTGTCAATGCTAGAACTACTGTTGCTGAGAGCACTCGTATGGTCACCGTTGCTGCTGTGCCACTGCTACTTCAAATCGTAAAGCTCCGCACATACACTGACAGTTTTGAATGCTCCCAGGCCCTGTCCTGAGCTGAGCTTTGCTCCGTTGGCCCCAAATTTCGAAAGTGTTCTGTACAACATCCAAACCACATAGCCGCTGCTGCTGCTTCAGGCTTGCCTGTGTAGGGATGATTGCCACCACATCTTCAGGAGGCTATTCTGGTGCCGGAGTTTCACTGGCTTGTCAGTGTTGATCGCGCCTGTCGCTGTGAAAGGCCACTTCAGTGGCGATTGCAGGCCTTGCGCGTTTTTGCACCCTGGAGAGGATATCTCGCGTAGGTATTCCGTTGCTTACAGCGGATTCATGCATCCTTGGGTTTCAGCTCGACAGTCCCTGCCAAAAACGCTGTCAATCCCACATCCTCCGTTGCAGCTCGAAGGTCCCTAGCCTAAATCTCGAATTCGGAAGCCCAAACTCCCTTCCCAACCAGAGCAAAGCACAAAATTCGGATAAACCACAAGCCCCAGGGGCTCGAAGAGCCTCGGGTCCGGTTGCCCCGTTGATATTCTTGAGGTAGGCGTGGCCACTTTGGATTGCATTCATGTTTGATTTTCTTCGGAGGACATACATCTCTCTGTCTGTTTGTCTTATCGTCTGTCTATTCCCCGTCTCTACATCTATCTCTATCTTGATCTCTATCTCTATCCCTAACCCTATCGCTATCGCTATCCCTTCTATCTCTATCTCTTCTATCTCTATTCCTATCTCTGTCTCTGTCTCCGTCTCTATCTCTGTCTCTATCTCTATCTCTATCTCTATCTGCCCGTTTGTCTGTCTGTCCATCTGTTTACCTGCCTATCTAAATTTTTAGTTTTCTATCTATCTATCTGTCTCTTTAGTTGTTTTTGTCCTTCTATCTGTATACCTATCTATATACCTGAAATTATCTGTCTGTCTGGCTGTCTGTCTGTCTTTCTTTCTATCCGTTTCTCTCTATCTCTCTGAGTCTCTCGCTCAATAATCAACCAGTCAACCAAGCAATCAGCCAGCCAATCAACCGACCAACCAAGCAAGCAATCGATCTGTCTGGTATAGGCGTGCAGGCGCACGCAGACTTATTTATAGGCACACCGGTATATATATATATATATTATATTAATTACTCATGTATATCTATGTGTGTGTACGTATATTCGCGTATCTATATATATATATATGTGCATGTATGCATGTATGCATGTATGTACACCCTGCTTGAAGCAAATGTAGGCTTTAATATTGGATCAGCTTGCCACGTCCCCGTCCGCGGCACCCACACGCCGCTGAGGTACGCGAAGGGCTGCTTGAATGGCGCCATGTGCAACTTCTGCCACCTCTGCGATCGGGGTGAGAAGAAGCGGCGTCAGAAGGCACTTGCATTGTGTTCTTCGGGAACTGGGCAGCACTCAGCTTTGCAAAGCTCGGTAGGTGACCGGACGTGAAGAGCGGAGCGTCCAGCAGGAGAGACAAAGAGAGATGCACAGAGACAGAGAGAAGAAGACAAAGAATGTGGAGCAGACAGAGGATAGCCCCACGGCCTTCCCCAAAATGTTCTAAACCCTAAACCCTATGTCTGTCAAGAGGCGCGGAGGGCGGCCTTCAAGATCGACCAGGAGCTGGAGCAGTGACTTCGCTTTTGCATCCCTGTGGCGCACCTAGCATGCAGGTTTAGGGTTTAGGATTTAGGCTTCAACTTAGATCCCAAGACGCTTCTTATTTATACCCTAAACTGAAGCGATAGTGAAGCCCTAAGTCAACGTAAAAGAGTTTCAGCTTCGGGCTTCGGGGCACGGCAGGGCACTACAGATATTGGAGGGACAAAGATTCGCCGATTCTGTTTAGTACCGACTCTCTCTTGCTTAAATGCTAAACCCAAAGGCCGAAAATCACAACCCCTGATCTTGAGTCATCACAGGTGAATACTGTAGTTTTTCCGTTCGTTATGTAGAGCGGCCATCAGTATGATGCATCAGTCTGATCGCTACACCTGTATCATTCTTCTTGCCCTGCTGTCGCCAGTGCCGCTGGCGCAATTGTCGAGATTGTTGCTAGTGTATCTGCGACCACCGTTGCTGCTCCTGCTCCTGCTTCTGCTGATTCTATTAACCGTAAACCCTAAACCCCATACCCTAAACCCTAAACCCTAATTACTCCTGCTGTCTGCTTCTGGTTTCTTTGGTTCTTTCTGTAGCTACCGCACGAAACCCGGGAGGGCTGATCCATCAAGGCCTGGCTTTCTGAACATACAGCGCCCCTTAAACCAATTAAGGTAAAACTATAAAGCACCCTTAACCAATTAACGTAACACTATAAAGCACCCTTAACCAATTAAGGTAAAACTCTAAAGCACCCCGTGACCATGTTTGTCGTGGAGTAAAATTATACAGTTTTTTGCCCTGAACCCAAAAACCCTCCAGGCCCTAAGGGGGTCTCTGGTTATTTTCAACCCCAAACCCCAAACCCCAAACCCCAAACCCGAAACCCTAAACCCTAAACCCCAAACCCTAAACCCTAAACCCGGGATGGAGAGCGAAGTCACTGCCAGACTCACAAATTCGCTTAGTCTGGCCACGAGCGCCCCATGGGACGACTCTGTTCGGCTCTCTGGGCATTTAGGGTCTACCCTAAACCCTAAACCCTAAACCCTAAACCCTAAACCCTAAACCCTAAACCCTAGGCTTCATTGAGGCTTTAAAGGCTGGAGTTGGGACTTTGCCCGAGCCCTAAACCCTAATCCCTGAACCCTGTACCAAGTTTAGGGTTTAGGGTTTAGGGTTTAGGGTTTAGGGAGGCAAAAAAACCCTGAACCATGGCTCCTGAATCATGGGCTGATACGGTCTGAGAGTTTAGTTGCGTTTGGACTCGCAGCCCTGGGCGCGAAACCGCTTCGAAGTCGAAATCTCAAAGCCCTAGCATCGCTTTTGAGTGCAGAGTCGTTTTGGGACTGTCCGGGTCGTTTGCATGTTAATTCCGTGCCACGTCGGCCGATGTGCTGAGACGTGGCCAGCGTTGAGGAGAAGACGGGCTGAATCTGGAATTGGTTGGTTGGTTGGGTGGTTGGTTGTGTGTGTGTATGGGTTTGGGGTGCTTGCCTCTCGGGGCCAGAACATGTAGCGACGTAGCATTAGTAATCATTAGTAGTGGCAAAGATGACACATTAGGAAGGAGATTGCTGGTTCTGGAGTGTAGTCGTAGTAGCAGCAGCAGGAGTGGAGATAGCAGCAGTCGCAGGCGCATGAGCATTAGCGGTGGCAGCAGTAACGCCGCAGTGGCAGTAGCAGTAGCAGCAGTAGCAGCAGTAGCAGCAATAGCTGCAGTAGCAACAGCAGCTGTAGCAGCAGGAGCCGGAGCAGACGCAGGAGCAGGAGCAGGAGCAGGAGCAGGGGTAGTAGTAGTCGTAGTGGTAGTAGTAGTGGTAGTGGTAGCGGTGGTAGTCGTCGTCGTCCTAGTATGGACTGGTTACCTCAGTAGTAGTAGGAGGTGGTTGCCTTGCAGAAGTTCGCAGTGAAGAGGCAAAGACATCCCACTTTGTGCCAGCCGTCCCCCCCCATCGCGATCTGCAGTGCATGATTTTGTGCTCCCGAACCGGTCGATCAGACCTCGGGACAGAGACCCAGTAGACGGGTAGTTCTTTGGGTTAAGGCGGTCTCCTTCGCATGTCCATGCTCCGAGTGACACCCTGGAACGTCCGAGATCATCCGAGCCCCTAGCAAAACGGAAGCCTTCAGATGGAGATGGGGCAGGAAGGAGGCCCACACCCTTGAGACTACTTCTCCGCCCGGCGAGTACTGCAAAGGGCGCCAGCTCTTTCCGACGGCCTCTCGAGCAGCACTCAATGCTCCAAGAGCATGGCGAGTGTTGCCTTGATCCCGGTAGCCCCGTGGCCCCAAACCCCGGACCTCTTGCAGCAACTAGGCTACAGTGGCGACAGTCAAGGACTAGAAGGGTAGTAGTAACAATGCCAGCTGCAGCAAGTGCACCACAAAAAACAATGTCCGTTTAATCACCCTAACCAGTACTGATGCTAGAAGGACCTGCTATGTGCGAGATTCGGGCAGACGGCCTTGCATCTGTGTCCTGGACACATGTGTGCGCCTTTCAAGCAGCGTTGTCATCGCAGGAAAACGCGGAGACCCCTAACCCCGAAACCCGGAACCCTAAACCCCTCGGACCATCTCCCTTCCGGTTTAGGGTTTAGGTTTTAGGGTTTAAGGTTTAGGGTTTAGGGTTGTGTGTGTGTGTGTCGAAACCCCACCGGAATTTCTGAATTTCTTCGGCTCATATTCTGGAGCCAAGGAAGCTGATTAAGAAGCTCTGCCCCTATAACCCAGCATGCTAGGTTTCAAAAAAGAAGCCCTAATAATAAAGAGCCAGGTTTCTCTAACCTTAAACCCGAAACCCTAAACCCTAAACCCTAAACCCTAAACCCTAAACCCTAAACCCTAAAGCCCTGAGTCAGGGGCTCCTAGTTTTGAGAGATGGTCAGGCTCTGCAAACCTCCGTTCCCGCAGCCATAAGAGGCCCCCAGTCCCCCATCCCCCCCTGTATCATAAGCTCTATGTTAAAACTTAGGTGGCAATTTGGGAAACCTATTCATAAAGGCTTTTCAGGGCCCCAAAACTACAACCCAGTATTATCTAGCAGTATGTTGCACCGTGCCATATTAAATGTTAGTTTAGTAGTCTACAAAACAGATCTTCCATACCCGAGCTCAGCCCCTCTTCCAAGTAAGGAGTAACACTCAGTCTCCCTAAGTTGTTTTTCCAGGCTTTCAATTCAAGACCACCCTAAACCCTAAACCCTAAACCCTAGACTCTCAGGACCATTTGCAGGATTCCCCGTTGCTCACAAAGAACCCTTTATTATCCTGTTTGCATCTTCTCTGGGTCCTTAGCCCTGAGCTTCGTCCGGCTTTGTCTGCTGCAACCCCACATACCCAGCACCCTGAGCTCTACTGTTACGAACTCGAACTCGCAGTTCCTGGGGTCTTCGTAAAATTTGCATCTCTGCATCCCTGATGTCCGCATGAGTGCCCCGACGCCACCCGAAGCACCTGAGCCCCCTTAACCCCAAACGCAGACCCAACAAGCCCAATATCCCAGAATCTCAAACTGCAAGAAACCTTCAGCCAGTTACACAAAGCCTGGCAAGACCACCCTAAACCCTAAACCCTAAACCCTAAACCCTACACCCCTAAACCCTAAACCCCTCCAACGCCCGAGCAGCCGAGCCATGGCCGATTTTTTGGCACCCTTTGCTGCCCGCGGCTCCTCGCAGATGCTCGGGAATGGGCGGCTGCGACGCTTGGGCCGAAGTCTGGAGAATTTTTAACTTCTCATCCCTGGAACCGAAGTTCTAATATACCTAAACAGCAGAGTAGAGTGGGTAGAGTCTTGGGGTGTATCTTCGTAGAATAAGACAGGGACTCGGATAGGGGATGACATTCTAAATTGTTCAGGTCACTGCGCTCGACATTTAGGTTGTTTGGGTTTTGGGTGGGCACACTCTTCGGAGCCTTGTTCATCGGAGGCGCAGATTCATGCAGGCAAGTTTGTATGTATGTTTGTATGTGTGCTAGATTTTCATTAAAGCATTTGCGCACAAGCTTCTTCAAGCATAGGCACAGCTGCTTAGGTCGATGCATGTATGTATGTATGTATGTATGTATGTATGTATGTATGTATGTATGTATGTACGTCGTTGTGTGGATATATGTATATAAACGAGTATACGCACATGTATGTGTATATGTATGTGTATGTGTAGTACATCTATGTCTGCATTACCGTGTAGTTGTGCACACATGTGTATGCAGATGTACACATTGGCATACACACCCACACCTGAATGAGTTTTTGCACAGATAGATTTAGCTTCCCCTGCCAGGCTAGCCAGGCTCACGACAAAGTCGCGTGCCGGCTGCATTCGGGCTGCTGGCGCTAGCCTCCCTCAGTCTTGGCATGTCTTTGTGAAGTCGTGGGGCTCCGTAGTATAATCGCATTATACCATGCCTCAAGACCCTATTGTTTTTGTCACCGCCCCTACACTAAACCCATACAAGTACCCGTATAGTACCCTTACAGTAACCCTTTAAAGGAAACTCATAAACCCTAAACCTTAAACCCTAAACCCTAAACCCTTTCCCCTAAACCCTACACCTTAAACCCTAAACCCTAAACCCTAAACCGTGGCCATATGCATTACCTGCCCTAAGCGTTCGCCTCGAGGCTGGGCCTCGACCCCCCGAGCCTGACAGAAAAATCTAACCGCTGCAATCGTGAACCCACGGCAAAAAAAGGTTCAACTATGGGTTGAGGGTTTAGGGTTTGGGGTTTAGGGTTTAGGGTTAAGGGTTTAGGGTGAAGGGTTTAGGGTTTAGGGTTAAGGGTTTATGGGCCAGAGAGTTCCTTCAGCCCTAAACCCGAACCCCTAAACCCTGAATCCCAAACCATCTTGGGAGGCAGAAAATCTGCAACCCCAAGAGCACGGCTAGCGGTAAACCGCTGCCAGACTTATGCAATGGGAAACGCATCAGCAAACAACAAACTCTCACCCAAACGCCCTGAGACCCTAAAACTCCGAATCCATTGCCTCGTGCTTCTGACAGGTTGTCTCCAGAGAGGCAAAGCGCCACGACGCCGCTCTGCCTTCTTGGGGTTAATGCTGCGGCCGGAGGAACTAGACAAATGCTCTGTTAAATTACTTTTCAGATGCAATAGCTATGCTTGTTTCATCTTATGGTGTTGTGTTTCGCAGTGTTTCAGATCCTCTCTTGATAAAGGGAGCACTTTGCAGCTGCTGAGGTCTTTATTTCCCACCACCACGGTTTCGATCCCGACGAGGACCGAAAGCAACCGCCCCCTGGCCAGGGTTTGGATCCACCCAGAGTGGGTAAAGCCCAGATCCCTAAACCCTAAATTGCCCTGAGGCCAAAACACAAGCCCTAATAGAGGTTCGATGTGAAGGCGCCCGGTCAAGAGTCGAAGGCACAACGGAACTGGATGATCCCGTCTTGGCGGTAAGCTGGGGGACATGCTCAGATATGAGCATAGCAGAGTCATTTGTTTCATAAGCTGCTTGAATCCGGCCAGGAAGCCTGAAGTGGTCAATCACATGTGGCCCAAACGCCTAAACCCCAAAGCCAAATCCCTAAGCCCTAAACCTGACGACTTAAACTCTAAACTCTCGAAGCCCTGAACCCCAAAGCTGCAAGCCTCTAAACCCAACCTCAAACCCCCATGTCCCAAGCCCTAAACCCCGAAACCCTTAAGCTCCAAACTCTACCCAAAATCCTGTACCCTAAACCTCAACAAGGTCCCAAGACTTCTCACTGCATTTCGCCTCTTGGATTTCGGCTGCGAGGATGCAAGAAGAAAGGAATCGGCGCATGTGGGGTGGGGTTGTTCAGACAAGAGGGGTCGCAACGTAGGCGTCCTTAAAGAAGAATTTTTCATTTGTCACAATAGTTAGTCATGACAGCAGCAGCAGCAGCAGCAGCAGCAGCAGCAGCAGCAGCAGCAGCAGCAGCGGCAGCAGCAGCAGTAGGTCTAGTAGTAGCAGTAACAGTAGTAGTAGGGTAGTAGTTGTAGCAGCAGCAGCAGCAGTAGTAATAGTAGTAGGAGTACGAGTAGGAGTAAGGGTAGGAGTCGTACTACAACGACGGCGACTACTACTAATGACAATAGCAAGAAGTATAACATGGGTATTTAAAACCAATAACAGTAACAATAATTATCATCATTCTATCTTCTTCTTATTCTTACTATCATCAAAATTGTTTTTTTGTTGTTGCCACTATCTCAATATCAAGTCATTATCTTCAGCATTGGTATTAGAAGCATCATTCGTCAACTTTGGCATCTGTATTCTTAACGCCTGTATTGGGGTACGTACCCGTTTGCTGAGACTGGGGCCGCTTGTAAGCTCCGCTGTGTTAGTTCTGCCTCGACGGACATGTTTCAGAGCAGTCGTCCCTAAACCCTAAACCCTCGCCAGCTCTGGCTGCAGAAGTTTGAGTGTAGATGGATCGAGAGACCTCGTTTGGCAGTGTCCGAGTTGCAGAGAGTAAAGCCTGAAACCCTAAAGCCTTAAACCCGAGAACCCTAAACCCTAAACCCTAATAAACCGTGCAGTGCAGGCTTCAGGGTTCATGGTACTTGGTCTTCACTCGTACGTGCCCCCAATCTGCCAAGCTGTTTGAAGTTTCCGCAAAGGCAGGGAGCCGGGGAACGCTAAAGCTGCAAGTGCAGAAACCCTACTTGGAGGCCCGGGGGACTTAGTAAGTCGGTTATAAGTAGGGTTGTAATTGGGGTAACTCCATTTAGGGTACTTATAACTCCATTCATAGCCTACTTACTAAGTCCCCTGGGCCTCCAAGTAGACACTTCAGCTTAAGATGGGCTGGTCAGGAACCCCGAAGCGCTGCACCAGAAATAACCTCATAGAGTTCCCAAAGGAGCCCTGGTAGGTCCTTTTAGAGCCCTTTTAAGGAAGTCTGCGATACGCTGCAGCTCTCCGTGCGCCTGGATACCACAAACCTTGCCCGCCTGCTCGACGAGTGCCCTGGCTTTGTAACGTTTTGCGTTCAGTGTTTCGGATGATGGATTTAGGCTTGCTGCGAACTCGAAGTAGCAGGGGATTGGCACAGAATATAGACTGGTACGTCAAATCGTGGCAACCAGAACATATACTGTCCACACACATGCATACACACACACACACATTCATGGTAGAATTTACATAGCCGAAACCTCAGCCGATGAAGCCAACTACACCCAGACTTCAAGCTTTGCGCCAAATTTTGGGTGGGCATGCTTAGGCGAAGATTGAAATCCGACGTGGCCGCCGCACGGGTGGTGGTCGGGGTGCTCAGCAAGGAGCCGGGGTCCGTCAAACTTAAAGGTGAGATCTGCAGAGGGCATTTGGAGAGTGCAGCTGGAGCTTGCAAGGCCCATGGACGGATGTGCGAGTTGCCAGGGTTTCGGGGCTGTAGAGTCTGTAGAGTTCGAAGCCGAAACCCTGCACCCTCAACCCAAAACTCCTAAGCCCCAAGGCCCCTCCCCTATACCCCGAAACCCCGAAAGCCTAAACCCCTGGTTCACTATAGCTGTGGACAGCTGTGCTTTCGACCGTGCCCTGCATTGCGGGCTTACTATAGCTGTGGACAACTGTGCTTTCGACTGTCCTAGCTAATTAGGTGGGATGCAAAAAAACGCTAAACCCCTAAACCCCTGAACCCTAAACCCTAACCCAAGCTACTTTGCCTGCCGAAGTCTAAGTCTGGGTTCTGCAGATCGGGATCAGAAGTTCGAGACGCCCCCGAGGCCGCAAGCACCAAACCCGAACATTAAACTTTGAAGGCCAAACACTCTATATCCCGACACTTGTGCCGATTTACGGGTGTCCGTGGAAGTCCATAACAGTAATGTTTGTAGACCCTAAACCCTAAGCCCTAAACCCTAAACCCTAAACCCTAAACCCTAAACCCTAACCCTATAATCCTGAACCCTAAGCCCTGGAAGTCTTTGGCCTTTGCGCAGGAAGGCCTTCTAGATCCCAATGGAATGCACCAGGTGGGTTTGGGGTTCAGGGTTGTGGGTTGGGGGTTTAGTTTAGGGTTGGGGGTCTCGGGTTGGGGGTTTTGGGCTTAGGGTTGGTGGGTTTTAGGTTTAGGGTTCGCGGGTTTGACGTTTCGCGGCTCTAAAACGCCAGGTGTTTGGTCTTGTTTTTGATATTCCTTCGGTGTTTCAAGGCTTATAAAGATTCCAAGGTTCTTGGTGGGGTTCCAGGATTTTTTGGAACGGGGGGGTTTTCCCTAGGCTTTGGTACGAGTTCGTGATTCAGGGTATGGAGTAAGGGCGTGCCTAGTACAAAACTGGAGGAGAGCGGACGAGTACTTAGGCTCTCTGTCTTAAGTTTTTGCGAGGTTTGAGCCTTCAGGTGAAAAGGCTCAGGTCTAAAGAGACCTCTGGCTGGTAGGAGTCGGTAGGAGTACGAGTCATCCTTCAAAGTATTTTCGCAGCGACCTGTATCAGCAATGGACGCGACAGGCCTCATATTGATGCAGCCAAGGCGGGTTGACTGGTTGAGCAAGCTTTGCGATTCGTTTCACAGCATTGCTCCACAACTTATGGCCTTGTTTTTTCTTTCTTGTGGGACAATGCCCGCGACTTGACTCACTTGGCATGGAAAATTCTCAGAACAAGTCTGCTGCCTTGACGTTCAAGGCTTGAACCAGAATTCCCCAAAAACCTGATCCATACAGCCTCCTCAAACGACCAGAGGCGCCAGCAATTGCGGTGTGACGCTTGTGTAGGCTGTAGGTTTGTCAGCTAGTCTTCTTCTTTCAGTGCGGCTTCGTCCGCTAGGCAGGTGATGGCCAACACCGCGTAGTAGGTGAAAGGAGACACGTAGTCCGCAGGCCCCCACTAGACAGGATCCAGGGTTTAGGGTTTAGGATTCAGTGTTTCGGGATTGGGGCTTTTAAAGCCTGTAAACCCTGATATCAAACTGCGACGGCCTCCTCAGGAGCTCATGTGGGCGGAGAGGGCCTTCGTACCCGTCGTTCCCTTCTACGATGGTGATCGCCTTGCTCCCGAAGAGCAGCTCTGCAGGGGGTTTCGTGTTTTTTTAATTGCAGTGGGTGCCATCTTCGTTCTGTTCTGTCAAAACGGGGTGGGGAACTGGAAGGCCCTGAGAGTAACCCAGTAACTGTAGTGGCTCCAGTTTTTATGCTGAAAGTTCTCTGGGCTGATGGATGTTCTGCCCGGTAGAGACCTACAGAACCCACGTCCTCCACCTAGCATTCCCTCGTAGCCACGGCAAATATTCCCCCAAGCCCTGAACAAGGTACGACGTGTGGAAGCAGGAGTTCAGCTTCCTGAAGCGCGCACCGGTCGTCTATCACCGCCGCACGCACATGCGGGTCAAGGACAGCCTGGTGGTGGCGCTCCAGGAAGCGATCGCGGACTCCTACCAAACTGCAGGAGGGGAACATCTTCTCTAAGGAGCTAGGGTTTAGTTTCGGTCTCACGGTGGGTTGAGGGAGGCTGGCACCGCCTGGCATCCAGAAGGTTGAGTTTCATGTACAAGAATGGTTGAGAAATCACTGTCCCGCCATTCTGTTGCATGTGATACTGCGATGTCCTCGTTTGTCTTGGTATGTGGATCTTCTTGAAGCAGTCTCTTTCACACCGAGATTGTTATCATTGGTATCACAGAAATATAGCTCAATACAACCGGTCTTAGTGCATCGTGTCTGTTTCCTTTGCACTTGCGACTGCGTGTTTATATTTATATAGCTATAGTTTTAACACTGTTTTAACTGTTTGTTTTTTGCTGGGAGCTCCGCAAAAGCACGTACTTAGACAGCCGGGTCCAAAAAACTCTTCATACAATCTTATGAACACTTGAAAGGCTCACACGAAGTCTCTTACAGGACCTGTACACGCCGCTGAAAACACTGTGACAAAGTCATCCAGAACCTATGTCAAGAATCTTGAGAGGAACCCTCACATGGAACGTTTAATGGAACCCTAAGACCAACCGTGACTAGCCTAACTTCCCTCTTCCAAACCCTAAACCCTAAACCCTAAACCCTAAACCCTAAACCCTAAACCCGAAACCCTAAACCCTAAACCCTAAACCCTCTGAATGCCCCGCCCTTTCGGAGGCATTCACATGCCCCCGGCGCTCTCAGAGTTGCTGGACACCCAGGCAGGATTCATATAGGGGCCTAAATAATTGCTAGCACTATTTTGCTGGTTCCTTATCATAAGTATGCTATACCTGGTCCCGAAACCCTATTCTAACTCTTAAGGCCCCTAAACCCTAAACCCTAAACCCTAAACCCTAAACCCTAAACCCTAAACCCTAAACCCTAAACCCTAAGTTCTACAGGCTTCAAGGCTCCAGGGCTCCAGGCTCCAGGGCTTTCGGGGCGTTGCAGGTGCGGGTTTAGAGCTTAGGGCTTACACGGTTTGCGGGTTTAGGGCTTGCAGGGTTTAGGGTTTAGGGCTTAGGTTTATGAGATTTTTAGTACCTAACTGCACATGCCCTCAATTTATTTTTTTCGCAGAAATTTCGTGCAAATTTTGCACAACCATTTTGCAAAAAAAATGGTGCTATTGAACTACTTTGCATTTTTTTGCGGAATTTTTGCTCTTCCATTTTGCGGTTATTTCGTGGGGGTTTTGGGGGATTTGGCTTGTTTTGCGTAGTTAGTTGCACTCTTTTTTTAGTTTCTGTTGTGTTGGGTTTGTTTAGCGATTGGGTTTGGAGGTGCATCAAGCATGTCACAAACGGAAATCGGGTGCATCAAGCATGTCACAGTTTGAAACCGTTTGCAACATTAGCTCAACAATCTTTGTTGTTTGTTTGGTAGGTCGCCGATTGGGTCGCCCAACTTTTGACCGTGGTTGTCTGACTTCTGCGCCTCCCGGATTGACTCGGCTTCATGTTCGTTTTTTTTGTCATGTGGTGCACCCCGTGGCCACGATGGGTTGCACGGTCTGGAAAGTCTAGAAGCAAACCGACCCGAACATCCAGGACTCAGTGGGCCGACAGTGCTTGGGAAGCCTGTTGGCGTGTGGACCGGTGTAAAACGCAGACGCAAAAACAACTGTATCTTCGATTCGAAACAGGCCTTCAGCTGTGGACTCACAAGCTGCTTTATTTAGATTAGATTGTTTTGATTTTTGGCCACCGCTCGGAGATCGACTTATTCTTCGCAAACCTTTTATTACAAACTATGCTTGCTGCGAACTGCTAGCTGGTGCACTGTCGCTGCTAGCTGCTAGCTGCCCCACCTGACAGCAATGCTCATCAAGGCCAGGCAAGGCCGATGAAGGGCGAAGGTTGCTTTTTAAGTTTGGAACCCTAAACCCTAAACCCTAAACCCTAAACCCTAAACCCTAAACCCTAAACCCTAAACCCTAAACCCTAAGCGAGGCAAAGGACTCCCAAATTTTCAGTCGCCGCTGCCCAGCCCCAGTCCCCCCACACCCAGCTCAGCTCAGCCCCCCCACGCGGACCCCAGCCGGGCCGGCCCAGGCCCTGGGCCGGGTGGAGCAAAATTTGTGCAAAATTTGTGCAAAACTTGCGCAAAATTTGTGCAAAATTTTCGCAACATGTTCGCAAAATTTGTGCAAGATTTTCGCAATTTTTTTTTCAAAAACTTATGGGTTTTTGCAAAATTTTTGCGAAAACCATTGTTTTTTGCAAAAATTTTGCAAAAGTTTTGCAACAATTTTGCTCCCGGCACTTGGTCGGTTAGGACCAAAAATGCCACCGGGCACACACAGAGGATTGCACCGACCATTGCACCACCAACCCCGGGTTGCACAAATTTTGCACTTCCTGGGCTCACATTCCAGCCCAGCCAATCCTGGGACACCCCAGCTGCCACAAACCGTTGCAAAACCCTTCCAGCCTTCCAGGTCCTTCCATTTGCATCGCATTAAAACATATTCAGCGACATATGTCAACCACGAACTCACCACGCATCCTCGCATATGCCCATTTCAGACTTAACGACACATCGGTGCCTGCCAAGACGATGTTGTTCTTTATACAGGTGAGTTTACCATTTGGTCCGATGCCAGCTGGCTGGCGCAAGTTTTGTCAATAACTGTGATGAAACGTTTCTGCCTGCGTCGGGTTGGTCCTTTTAGACTTTGCAAATATTGCAATCTTGCATGGGGTCATGTTTTGGAGATTCCGTTGTGATTAAACTCATTAGATATTCGAGTCACGAACATAATTACACTTGAAAGATACTGGGTTTGGGTCCGACGGTATTCGTGATATGCAGTTTGCAAACATCGCGGTTTTGAAAGAATTTCCTTGTCATGCTCAAGTCGTTTTTACAAAGCTTGGTTGCCACGGATGCTTCTGACGGTTCGTGATGATGTAAAGGAGCCTTGAGCTGTGCAACAGCATAAATACATTTCGAGACTCGAGCCTTTCGAACGATGTTTTGCAGATCACGGCTGCTCTGATACGACGCGAATCTTTACCGGCGGTTCCAAACAAAGCAACTTCGATGGGCAGCATGATGCTAGCGGCGGTGAATGTTTAGACAAATATCTGGACGATTCTAGCATATTTTTGAATTCGCAATGTGTGGTGCATCAGCATTAACCAGCAGATTTGCACACATTGTTTGTGCAAAATTTTTGCAACACTGCTAGTTTTGCAAAACTGTTCCGCAAAATTTTTGCAACCCCGGGTGCAAAAATAATAAATCGGCAAATCTCCAAGTTAGGTAGGACAAAAATCTCATAAGTTTAGGTTTAGGGTTTAGGGTTTAGGGTTTAGGGTTTAGGGTTTAGGGTTACCTGGCAACACCTTCAGGAGGCCCGGATGCAAGAGGGCTTGCAGGCTTCAGGGGCTCTTGTTGCCTGCGGGGTCCCAGTTTTCAGGGTGACAGCGAAGTCTTTTGTACCGTTGGTTGTATCGTGCTGGTAAAGAAGTAGCCACAACACGGGCAGGCATTAGTGTAGCAGAAAGGCTTCTACATGTATTCTTCGCTTCGTTTATCTTGACATTGGTATCGCTATCCCTGACACAAATGCGATCTAGTGTGAGACAGCCATAAAACCCTAAACCCTAAAGCCCTAAACCTAAGCCCTAAACCCTAAACCCCCAACCCTAAACCCTAAAGGTCTGTCCCTGGGGGTTTCCCGAAAACATCTTTGTCTTCAGGACTTCGGA